TGCATGAAGGACAGCCTTTTAAGTTCAAAGATTTTGTCTATCCATTGTGCCGTAAGACTAATCATGCTAACGGGGCTAACATTACGTCCAAATGTCTGTGGTAAAACTCACCCAAGTGCTATCAGCTATTAGCTTCTCAATTACGTCGGAAATGACGGCTTGTAACTCGGGTAAGGTTATGTCGGAAAAATATCTCAGACTGTGGACGATGTAGCGAGACTCAACGTAGTTCAAAAACCTTCAGAATCCGACATCCTCACCAACGAAAAATAAAACTTCCACACAGCCGACATTTTGAATTTTCCTCTCCGCCGTGAGATCAGGTAGGCGCACGTGACGTCATCATGTTGTGCTGGCGCTGCAGGCATCCTTGTCACTGGGTTATCATACAGAAACAGTGTATTTTATATCAGTGAGTTATTTTGATGGAATGTTCGATATTGAACTTTAACGCTAATATCAGCCGATACCGATACCATGCCGATAATATCGTGCATCCCTAATCACAGGTGTCAGTCTAGTTTCAGTGTGTTTGTGCATCAGTTGTGCAGCCTTCTGACTGTTGTTAAGTTTCTGGTGTGCCAAAAGCAGATGGATCATTTTACAGATAAGACTATGACGTTCTTTTACTCTGCCCCTCTGTAATGGGATTTATTAGCTGACTTACTGCCACTCATTTTCAAAAACTTACATTTGATGATCCAAAGTTTTCCTTATTACAATAACAATTCAGCTGTGAGTTGATCGTTTCAAAGTACCCTAAAAATATATATTTTCTTTCACAAAATCTCCCAGAATAAGATGATTTGTATGAAGGGCCTTTCCAAATTGTTACTGAACAAGAACATCTAGTGTTGAAAATTAAATCGACTTTTTATTTGTTTTATTTTTAGCTTTACTGAACGAGGGGAAAGAGATGCTTCAGTAATCAGATATTACCAAAATAAAAAAGCTAAATATTTTCTTGTTGAAGCTTAAACAATATGTGCATAAATAGAGTACGTGACACCTTTTCAATAAGCTTTCTAATTCAGTTCAATTCAGTTTATTTATATAGCACCGAGTCACAACAGAAGGTGTCGCAGGGCACTGAACAGAAACATTCACATACTTTATAAAAGCCAATTAGTAAAAGATATCTAAATCGGCACAATAATCATTTAAACCTTTTTAATTGGTATTTAAAAAAAAAAAAATGAAATCAGCTGATTAAATACTACTGAAAACGACTCCTAGTCACAGCTGCATAAAGAACTCCCATTTAAATCCAGGATAAAAGCTTGTCATTCTTCTCAAAGCTCATCCCAAGTTTTTTGTTTTTATTTTTTGATTATTAAATATTCAAAAACTGAAACGGTTCAGACATTCATTTACATGACAACAGCCCTCGTTCTCACTGAAATCGAAGGTTTCTGAGTCCAGGGCTCAGAGTGGAGATTTTCAGGGAACCCCAATGCAGAGGTGTCACATGCTGTGCTAAGTTCATGGCCACAACCAACGCAGACATGTTCCTGTTTTTAGTATTTTATACCACCTTATGCTTTTTATATGACCGCCTATTGTTGTCATCATTCTTTGTTAAAACAAGTCTCTCTTGTAAATAAGTCCTCGTGACTCAATGAGACTAACCTGTAGAAATAAAGGTTGAATGAAAGTGTGATGTTGCACATGCGCACTACAGGCGGCTGCAGTCCAAAGTTTTTCTGTACTAAGAATAGTTATAATAAATGGCAGAGGGCAGAGTGTTTTTGTGCTACTCGCCCTTTTTCAGCATGTAAGAACAAAACCAATCAAATCCAGAGTCCAAAGGGAAATTTGTGTATTCACCAGTTTGCACTAACTGGAATCATGCAGACACTGCATGACAATTAAATCAGCTGAGCCGGCTCAGGGTTGCCAGATAACTTTAAACAGTTGTTTATTTTATTTTTTACCCCCTCCTTTTCTGTGCACATGTTCACCAAACACTACACACATCTCCTCATAGAATACCTTTAGTCAACACATGACTGTTTAGGTGAAAATACTATAATTTTAAAGCAGCAGTTCTAAAGTTCACAGTTTCATATCTGGCAACCCTATGCATGGAAACGACAGCGTCTTCATGGAAACCTACTTTGTTTAAATTTTTATTATAAATCTTGAACAAACACTAACATTTCCAGAGGTTGTTCTCCTGTGAACACCTAACAGTTGCATTTATTTCCCACCTAGCTGTGAATGACTTCTGCCAAGATGCAATTCCACCTTTTATAAAAAATATAGTGTGGGGGTTTAATCCTCACTGCATTTCTTTCCCCACCACCTCATTTTGTGTCCTGCGTTTCTCCTTCTCCTCCCTCGTCGGCTCAACTGGCTGGCAATGATAAATGAGTCAATTATGAGTGTGTGTGCACGCAGCACGGCAGAAAAGGAGCAAATGGGGACGTTATTACCTGTTGCGGCTGGGGGTAATGTTGCGGTATTAATCATATTCTAATTTTCCTCCTTCCGCGCACCCCCCAATGTCCCTTCTATCTGCCGCCTGCAAACAAGTTTGTGTAAACTGCCAAAAGCCCAAAATGTAGCAGATTGCTTCAGAGGGAGTGAGGAGTCAGTGGAGGAGCAGAGGAGTGTGTTTCTGTAGCAAGAGATGGAAAGGTAACACAAAGTTTATGCTTGTTGGTCTCATAAATGGCAGCTTGCACCAAAGCTGTCATGCACATGTTGTGTGGGGGTGGGTTCAAGGTGTTTCAGCTGGTCATGCAAGTGAGGAGATGTTAAAAACAGGAGCAGCTCAGAGTCTGCAACTAGGTGTCTCCCTATAAACAAAATCTAGTCTTTGCAAGTGCTACAACCCCCCCCCCCCCCCCCCACACACACACACACACAAAACCAGCTTCAAATTAAACCAGAGTAGTTTTAAAATGAGTAGATGAATTTGTGTATGAAGGATGTATATATATATTATATCACGTGTATTTTAGCTTATATTGCTACCTATGAAATACTTATTCATACAAAGTCATTCTACTTGCACCGTTATATTCTACCATGTTCTTGTTTACTGTATTTTGGACCGTGTAAATATTGTATTTACCTTTCCACTTTTTGGTACTTTATTTTGTACACTTATTGCATGCTTTAGTACTTCTTGTTTGTTTTTGTGTTTTTTAGCGAGCCAAAAGAAACATTTCATTGCATTGTTGACCGTGTTAACCTGCATATGACAAACAACATAACATAACAAAATGCACTTCTGGTACTTCCTGCGTAAATCATGTTACAACTCTCTCATACCGGGGCTGTTTATGAAAATCTCGCCCCCCTTGGGATTAATAAAGTATTTATCTATCTATACGTACAATATTTGCATAAAAAGAAGGGTTTCTGGTTTTAGACCTGAATACATCTGAAAAGTTTGTTTTATTTTGTATTGTTTTTCATATGTATTAATTTTTTGTACTTGTATTATAGCGCCCGTACCATGTAGCTAAAAAATTAACCAATAGGTTAGATTGCAGCAAGCCTCAACGGAGGGAACCCAACGGCTGAATGGGGAACTTCTAATCATCTACCAGGTCTAGAGATTAGCTCCTGATCCACTGTACACATTAACAGCTCTCAGTCCTATATATTCTTTAGTAAAACACACTGGCTTCTCATATGGAGCCAGTAAGAGCTTAACCAGCCACAAATGTTGGGCTTTACATTTCAGCATACAATAACCGGAGCTGCTGCATTGTACTAGCATGCTAAAATGCTAGTTGCACTTAGCATGGTTTTCATTTACACACTGCATCATTCTGAAACAGCATAAAACATACAAAGGTTTTTACCTTTTAATATACTTCTTAAAGTCTGTTGCAGTCAGCAACTCCGCATTAACCGTTGTAATGGATAGCTTTACTCTGTTGTTGTCCCACGTCTGCGTCGCTGTTAGCTCTGCCTTGTCTGGTTTCCACACTGACCCACGTTTCATGCAGCGTACCATTAATCTCTCCCACTCCCATCTGACTGGGCAAAATAAAATGCTTAATCCAATACAAAACAAAGCTGAACAAGATTGACACCTAGCACAAAAATAGTAAGTTGTGAACCTGCCACATGGCACCCATGCGCAACACTCCTCAAACAAACTTTTGTGCGACATTCAAGGAACGTAATAAAAAACAACAACAACCTGTTTTATTCTGCTTGAACTAGATGTTCTTGACCAAATATAAACTGATTTTAAAATTATATATTTTTAAATGGCAAAATAGTTTTTATCTTTCATACTTATTCCACTTTTATCACTTAGACACTTTTTTAAAACTTAAATATTACTTTGAACTTAGTTTAATACTTTAGTTTGTACTATATAGCACAGTTCAAACTGGGCTCCAGTATTTTTTGTGTTTTTGTGCGTAATTCACCGTTGACATTGTCTGGTTTTATAAGATGTTAGGGACCAGTTTGAGTGTTGGGTAAAACAGATTTATTAAAAACACAAGAGAGGCTGATCTCGTCTTATGTTTGTTCTTTTGTGTGAGAGTACATCTCCAGAAACAATAAAACAGGTGACGTCCTGAACACTTGGGGAGATAAGTGATTTAAAGATGATTGAAAAATTGAACCTGGTGGGGGAAGTGTTGTAGGAAATGGACAGATGCAAAGACAGAAGGACTAGCTGATAATTAGGAAAACAGCAAAATGAGAAAGGAGGCCCACAGATAGACTGTCTAGAAAGAGGAGGAGGGAGACACCTTGGATGTTCCTCCCTGCAGTTCTGGCTGGATTTCAGACCTCAAGCGTGACTTTGTCTATTTCTGCTCTGCTCTGAGGTGATAATGGGCTGTCAGCACTCCAGTCACCCTGCTCCCCCCTCCCCAAGTGAGTGATGAAGGGAGCGAAGAGGGAGGAGGCTGAGAAAAGTGTTGGAGGAGTAATTTGTTATGTCGCTAATTGCATTGTGTATTTTTATTTGGGGTACGAGACAAATCCAAAACAAATGATCTGTTTTTTTTCCTCTGTTGCAGTTTGAAGCTGGAGTGTGAGAAGCTGGCCACGGAGAAGACCGAGATCCAAAGACACTACGTTATGGTGAGAAGCACGGAGCGCGCAAACACACATGCGACGTCTCCTCACAACAAACTCACTGCCAACCCCCTAAATCCTTTTCATCTGCTTACAGCTGCCAAACAACACCCAGAAAAAAAGTCCCACTCAAGACCACACAAGCTCACACAAACGAATCATCACCTTCTCCAGAAGGTGTCCATCGTGTTTAGAGAAAAACTGCCAATTTAAATAAAATGACTTATTTCTTTAGTTAAATTAGAAGTTTTATCCTAAACACTGCTTTTACACAAAGTATACAGGCCCATGCAGGAACATCCAGTGTGTAACGTTTCGTCTTTGTGTTGCTTTACTTGCATGTTAAAAACAAATATCAAGTTGATCTGGGGCTGGGAAACTGTACTGTTTTGTCATTTGTTAAAAAAATTAAATTAGTTGATGTGTTGCTGTGTGACAAAACTGATGGTCACAAAAAAAATAAGCTGTGGCAATTATAATTCTTCCTTTAAATTCAACATTCATTCAGCCTTTATTTATACAGTGGTTCCCAGTCCTGGTCCTCGAGGAACACCATCCGGCATGTTTTAGTTGTTTCCCTGCTCCAACACATCTGGTTCAGTTATTTAATTACTTCCTTAAGTTCTGCAGAAGCCTGTTAATCACCCATGCATTCAAATCAGGAGTGTCAAAGTAGGGGGAAAAAAAACAACAACATGCAGGATGGTGTTCCTCAAGGACTAGGGTTGGGAACCACCATTTTAGAGAAAAACAGATAAGGTGCATATAAAATAAAAAGTAAAAGTAGTGATATAAAACAAACTAAAATCGAGCTACATTATGAAACGAGGTAAAATACTAAAAGCAGGGACATGTCTGTCATTTATCATTGTGTAATTGTGTAGCATTTGAACTTGATTTGATAAAATTGAGGATAAAAAACCCAAAAGCACACAAGTATAAATGTGTTTCCTCTACTCTTACGTCTTTAATAATGCTTTGATGGATGCACAATCAGCATTTTTTTCCTAGATAAACACAAAGGACTGAACTTTTGTCCCTTTTTAAAAAAAGTCTACAAACCTCCAGCCTCGGTATTCTTGTAACCGGAGCCAGAAATCACCACAGCTGACAGAGAGTGGGCTGCCCAGAACCTCCTGTTCCAAAAAAGAGCTATGTGGCAATCTTGGCACAAAGTCGGGACTTCTGAGGGGGTGGAGATGGTAGCTGGCATCAAGCACAGGCCAGGTCGCCTCTGCTGGCTGATGATTTGGGGTAGTTTGGACGTTGCTAAGCAACAGGCGAAACTTGGCAAAGAACTGCAAAGCAGCGCTGCCAGGAAAGGCATCATTTATGGAAGCTTAGAGGCAAACACACACAGACAGGAGCGTGCATGCACATGGCTCGGTGAAACACACACACCAAAGCACATAATGTGTACGCCTACACAGTTGTAGCTATAAACACACACACACCTGCACTCACACACACACACATGCATGCAAGCTGCCAGGAAAGATGTCTGGAGACAGAGGACCCCTGCCATCTCCTCTTCCATCCTGCCAGCCTGTTCTGGCTGCCCAAGTGCCAATCTCCTCGCTTCACTACCAGCCTCGCTGAAAAGCAAATGTCAGACTGTCACTTCTCGAGGCTTCAGACTTTTAAATGGTCTTCTTTTTGTCCGTCTCTCAGGGAAGAGAGGGATCCTCGGCTGTCTCTGTGGCATTCAACTCCTCCTGAGTTTCTCCTTGTACTTTAAGATAAAAGCCACGGTCAAATAGCTCACATTAGACATAATTATTTGAAGAAGTCTGTCCAGTGGCAATTTCACTGCATCACTTGGGATTTTACTTTTTTGGCTTCCGATTCATGCTCCAGTCATTTTAGTGCCACTGACTTTCAGCAGAGTCAAGATGAAATTAGTGGAGATGTGCTTTTAGGACATATGGCCCTTCAGAGTGCTGTAATGTGTAACATAATTGGGCTTCCATTGTGTGACACTGGCAGGAAAAGGTTTCTGGGGGATCTGAGACGGCTGAAATTGTGTGTGGAAAAGCAGCGACTCGTTTGTATTTTATGCAAGACCTACATCTTATCAACAGAAAATAATATACGTCTACTCTAAGACGATGATTCATTCAGCAGTTCAGTTCTACAGATATAAGAAGTAAACTGATGAATGCAAAATTCAGTCTATAGCATAAAGAAATGGAGGTTTAAATGTGGAGTGCATCAAGGTTCAATGCTTGGTCTTACCTATTTTTTTTTCATTATATTTATCAGTTTTCTTTAAGTGCCTATAATAGTACAGTTTTTGTTGTTTGCAGACAACAAAAATACTTTTTGTACTGGAAAGACCTTAAAATGGTTAAAGATAATATGGTTGGGTAATTTAAAACTTCTTGTTTACTTTAGTTTTGTTGTAAAGAATGAATGAGAATGTGGCAAAATACATTAACTATAAGCTAGCAATGTTTCCATCACTTGATATACATAAATGTACTGTATTTTTCAGACAATAAGACACATTTAAAATCCTTTAATTTTCTCAAAAATCTACAGTAAGCCTTATAATCTGGTGCACCTTATGTATTAATTCTGGTTGAGCTTACTGACCTCGAACTGGTTTTATGTGGTACACGGTCAAGAATCTGCCAAAATGAACTTGTTTCGCTTAATTCGCCTTATAGTCCGAAAAATGTGGTAATGATGATTTTCATCCAATAGTTGTAAAAATATTTGTGACAGATAGGGGTGCACCGATTGCAGTTTTCTGGCCGATCACCGATTTCTAAAAAGTGTGACCTGCTGATTCTGATTTTGGCTGATACTGATTTTGTTTTATAAGCGACATTGTCAGGTGTTATTAGGTCACAATGCACCTTCAATTTTCCAATATTATTTTATTGAAAAACAAGGGAATCCTTGAACAATATCCTAGAAACAATACAAACTTGTTTTAACTGGCCATGAGGTAGTGTTCTGAAATATAAATGAAGTTCAGACAATTGTTGTTAAAACTAAACAAAAAAAATTGGTGAAATCGGTTTCTCATGCAAGTATCGGCCGATCTCCCCAAATTAAGGAAATCGGAGCCGATTAATCGGTCGGCCAATTTATCGGTGCACCCCGCTAGCAACAGATGTTTGTATTTGTATTCTGTAAATAGGGAAATCTCTGTGTTAGTGTGTTAAAAATTAAAATTCTCATAAAAAAGCTGCAGGTTTATTCTTTCTACTTTCTTTTGGTCAACAATTTGATCGATTTGTATTTAAAATGTTTTAATTTGCAAAAACTGAAATATTTTGTAAGACGATTCTCATTAGCTCAAAACACTTATCAACTGTATGTGTATTAATAATTTAGATTTTCTTGAGTTTACTGCAACAACTTGCTTGTTTTGGAGACTTATTTTTTGTATATGCTTTTAACAATACGGACAATTTTCTAAGTATCACCATGATTTTAAGATGAATTTTTTAAAATAACCTCTCCAGACTTTTAATGTGTACAATTACTTGAACTAACAGATTCTCCTCTTTGTTTCAGTATTATGAAATGTCCTACGGCCTGAACATTGAAATGCACAAGCAGGTGAGTCAGCGCCGAGTCTCTTGCTCTCTGCTGCTCGTTTCTTTGCGTGTTTTTATTTTTATTTTTTCCTTGTAGCTGTTTTGTCCTCTGTGCTCAGAGTAATAACATTTTTCAGGAGACATCTTTCATTCTTTTGCTAATCTTCTCAAACAGACTTCTAAAACACTGTTATACTGTGTGGGCGTTAATAAGATCCACAAACAGAATTCAGCAGTCCACTGAAGACCGATGAGAACACTCTGCCCATCATTTATCCCTGTTTGTAAAACCCCGCCCCCCCACACCACCACCACCACCACCTCCACCTCTCATTCCCACCCTGTTTGTTTCTTTTCTGTTTCTTTCTAATTTGGTCCCACCGTCTTTCTCATAAGGCATTTTTCTTTAAATTTCCATTTTTATGATTTCTCTTTCTCCATCTTCCATGTTTTTCTTCCCCCCACCGTGTAGCCCCCCCCTCCCCCCCACACACGCACCTCCTCCTCGGCCTCCTCTCAGACATACAGTCCATGCTAAATTTCACTTTAAATCAGGTCACTGCCTCTCTGCTGTCTGCTCTGTCTTTCTCTCACTCTCTTCGTTCATTTCATCATTTCAATCGCTTTGCGTTTGACGTGCTGCCGCCGCTCCACCCCTCCCACCTCCACCCAGTCTTGATTTTCCTCCCCCGCCTCCCTTCTATTTCTCCTTTTCTCTGGTTCTCTGCT